GATGTGAGACATAGGGATGTTGTCATGCGTTCATGTGTAACGATTTCCAGGTCGGCGCACAGACGATTCGTCGTACGGACTGTTCACCAAATACTGTAACCCTGTACATGGATCAAATTCCGGTATGTCACAAAAGATAAGCATTGCCGTAATTAAAAGACTGGTGCCTTGCAAATGAAAACATTTATTCAAGTTTAGACAGGCGCAAGCTATCCATTAATAAAGAACTTCCAATTCTTGACAATTACTCATGAGGTTTACTAAAGTACATCAGGTTGGTGTTGAACTTTCATCCACAGTGTCCTACAAGGAGGAAAAATGACACATTTGCACTACAATTGCAGTGTCAGAACAGTCAAATACAAACAAGTGCCCTATGTCATAGCGATCATCCAACCTATGAATTCAGAATACGTACCAATGTTATAAGAATAATTTTGCTGAATTAAAATCTTACAGTTAGGTCTGTGAACACTTGAGAAATCAGCTAGAAATAAGATAGGCGGGAAATAATTATTCCACTATAAATGTTTACGAGAAGCTAATGTAAAAACAGAAACCGGTATTAATTCGCATGTCTAATGTGAATTCGGCACTCACTTTCTTTGGATCTCCATCCACACTTATTTACTTTATCTTTTACGTTACGTAGAAAAGCTTGGTTCACAACATCCATGGCTTGAGTTATTTGGTTCTTTGGACAGACTGCACTTCGGAGCCGTGAACACAAAACATATATAAATATATAAAGACTGCTATGGGAACTTAGATTTATTCGTCCTGTGGAATCTTTCATTACTGATGCCCATTTCGCCTTCAGTCTCACATAAAGTGTAAGTGATTGTCAGTTCCGGAACTCTGGACAATAGGTAGTAAAGCTATGTTTGCCTAGTCTCTGGGATCATAATTGCCCCTCATACACACGAATCCAACTTATTTCCTGCAATATGATAATTTGGTGGTTTATATATCTAACTGTAGAGGGCAACATTAACATCTCGATATGTGTTATAATCATTCAAAGCATATAAATAACATATACAACTCTCAGGACGGCTAATATTTTCACCATCAACCTATTTCTGCCGTAAAAATAACAGTGAAAATCAGCCAAAGTCACAATAAAGAGAAAAACATAAAACTTATTACGGTTGCGCAGTTTTGGTAGCCTTGACGACAACCTCTTTTATATGACGATATTTCATATAAAAAACAAATTACTTGTCTACTCCTAGTGTAAGGCTAAATGTAAAGAATTGCTAGACTGCGATGCAAATATAGATAAACTATTGTAGCAGCACCTGAATAATGAATTTTCGAGGACTTCTCTGTACCGTGTACCGCAGAATGGAAAACCATTTTCACTTAATTGTGAAAACGGAAAATAAACTTTAAAATTTATTTATAAATAATTTCGACTTTTGTCTGTGTACAAAGCAGGAATAAAATAGTAGCGCAAAAAAGTGTCATTGTCGTTGTCGTCAAGAGTCTAACGTCATATATTGAATCACGCCGCAACCTTGAGCTTTGTGAAACACGACCTGCCTATCAACAGTCCGGAAACATGCAACAGAAAAGTTAGCAACAGCAGGTAAGTCTTCAACCAAAGTCACACAATGAAAGCCCAGACAATGAAGACCCAATAACATCAGGTGCAATTAAAGGATATCTGAATAAAAACTAAATACAAGGCAGGGATAAGAAACAAATATGTGATTTTTTTATCTAGTGAATTGCTGTGCAGGGATTATCAACGTTTTCTTTCCGTTACACGGAGTGTTCATTTTGCATAGGGTTGGAAATTCCGCGAGTATATCCACGAATTTTTCAATCGTTACTGGCAAAGTTTGTATTTATTCTGGAGGAATGATGTGACAACCTTTGACTTTTGAGTAACGCGAAGCTTTGTTCAGTATCAAAAGTCGTTTTTTAGCCATTCAATGGAATTCTAGCAACCTCTCAACGTACAGATACAGGCTATTCTCTCTCCAATCCTCAGATCACAGACAACAAAAACCCGACCTATCCCAGAACAGCTACATTATTTCAACTTCTGGCCGAAGTGTAAGAAAGTTGATGAGAGCATCTATGTACAATAACAAAAGTTTTTATGAAATTCATTTCACAATCTGAGAAAGTAAATCCTGTTTGTCCAATTTCGTTCTAGCTCACGAAAGCAGGAATCAAATTTTTTGGTACACATAATTTTATTAGATTTTGCTGAAGCAGTTAACACTCTCTCAGGTTAACTCTTGATAAACAATGTTTAGTAGATGAGCATTAGTGAATCATTCTCCTCATAGCTCTGAAAATACACTGAGAACTGCACGTTTTACACTAATTTAAACACAATGCGGTCCAGTAATACAACAACCAAGCCTCCCGCCAGGGAATATGATAAACGTCGGCACCAGTAAGTCAACTTCTCTGGGATAAACGTATTCACCTTAATACCAAAAATACAAACAAGTAGCTGTCTAATTCACTTAGACTGGTGCACTCAAGCGAATTTTCTTCATCTATTGGACGTTGCCAAATTATAGAACAGTATTAAGTAATCAACATACAAATGGAAAGAAGTCATCTATTTTACAACAGCTCATTGGAAAGATATTGACATTAAAATTTAGTTTATTTTGTGGTCGGATCGAATTCAAGGTCAGCTGGCCCTAAACTTTTGTTTTATTGACAAGGTTAAACACAAAAAAGGGCTCAAAATCTTGTTCGTCTCATAAACACTTAATTATAAAGATCCGTTTCCAATGAGTCTTGATGAAAGATTTTCCGGTTTAACTGACACAAAATAGTAAATCAGCATTCAGTGTAAGGGATTGTAGTTCGGTTGACCTGTGTTGGTCCTTGCAACTTATTTTTCAGACAGAATGCAGCTCCTCTTTGAAAATTTTCTCTGACGAACTAATACCGTTTGTTACGGTCGATCTGGCCGATCGTTAGCAAATTAACAGAATCCTGCTCCGAGTCTATTCGACCACGATTTTTGAGCAATTTTGTAATAGTTTTGAAGGTGACTAAATCTGAAGTTATCTGAAAGACCAGATATGTTAACAGCTAGATCTATTTCTGAGATACGGAATTCGAACATGAAGTTACCTCACGTTTAGTGATATAAAGGAAAAATGGTGAGACTATAATTTATGGACGACCTTTGAGCGACGCCATCCTCTCGAACTGACACCAGATGTAATGCCAAAACGTTTATGCTAAATTGATGAGTGAGTTTCCCACCAAAGTGTGAGACATAGGTGGGCTATAAAACCTAAAACATGTTTTTTCAGAAGATTTAAGAGCACGGCAAAGCAACCATAACACTCAAAAACATTTAAACCTGGTGAACTGTAATTCCCAGTTGTTTTGGATTTGTAACTAAGTATTTCCTTGATGTCTTTGTCCGTGCGCATGTGGAAGCGGTGTTCCATTGACGGTGTACTATTAACCATAGCACTATTCAATTTCTTTCTAAAATTGCACTTCAACTTTTGGACCGTTTAAGTAATTTGTCTAAATCAGCTTGAAGATAAAGATAATCAGCCTCACTACTTATTCTCCAAAATATGAGGTCATCTGCTAAAAGGTGTCATCAACTTTGGCAGTCTCGTTAATTCATTGATATAGAAGAGAATTTATGAGGAAGTTAACAGTATGTTTTTGGGACCGTAATTTTTCAGCGATTTCCATTCATATAGTGTACCATGTACTCACTCTATTTATGGACACAGAGGAATTTGCTTATCCACTCTTGTGTAGTACTTGTTGTTCCAAAGCTGGATAGCTTCTAAATAATCCCTGAGTAGGCCATCTTTCTGAAATCTTTAAATATCATATCGACAGACAAACCGATATCTTGGGCTTCTGTCTAGTCGTCTGTCACAATTAGCAAATTATCCACAAACGTCTATTCTGAAATATGTATTCCTCTAAGATTAACAAATTATATGGTTCTATATGACTAAGTAACTCATCCCTACTTTTTTTTTCAAATACCTTAACGATTACGCTAGTTGACTTGATAAGTCGGTAGTTAGACACTATGTCCCTTTACATATCTAAAAATAGGGCTAACAAACCACCCTTCTAATTTTTGGGGAGTTAAGTTCGGGAAAAGAACATATTGGACAATGCTATAAATGTTCTTGAAATAATGTCCGCAAAGATTTACAGCAATTACGAGTGTAGCCCTTCAGGTTCAATACATGAGTACGAATTTCACCACTGTTACGAGTTCGTAATTTCTTTATTCATACTTCCGTGTAGACCCCCCACCTACTTCGGTTTGAGGAACCGAGTAGTATCACTAGCCTTCACATTTAGAGTGTGGCCCGTACGTCAATAGTGTCAGAAGGATGTTAATTACCATGGTCATTAATGAGAAGTGTAGTATGCTTTTCAGTACTTTCAAGTCGGAACCCATGAATGTTATCTTTGTATATGCATATACAGGCCTCCCGAATGTTAAAGGTTCATGATTTTCAATTTTTGATGATAAAAATTTATCTGGAGTGGGTACATAAATCTAACCCACCATATTTTGGTTCACAAGCATTTCGTCGTCAGTATATTTGATGAAAGCTAATACACATATGATAGATTACTTCCCTAGCACGGGAATCGATCTGATACGCAATCTGTCATCACTGCTGTAAATCTACTAGTGACAATAGCAAAAAAACTAGCCAAGTTTTTTTAGATGACGCCCTTTGTGAAAGAAACGACAGACATTTAAGTAAAAACAACCAGAAACACGGTTGCGTTGAGTTAGTGGCTCAAGCACGTAATTTAGTGATATTGGGTCACATACCCAATCGTCCTGCTAAGATTTGAGAAGTCATCCTCGATATAACTAGTGTAATAGCTGTTTCACAAATTGAGTATCATAGTCACTAGAATAGATTAATTTCTTGAATGACTTTGCATTTATTCATCTGTAGATATGTACCTTTCTAATTGTAGAATCTTATTTGTCTTTGAAGGTTTTCTTCGCCATGCCTGGTGAAGAGAACTCACCAGATGAAGATGGCCCGAAATATAAAATCTCCAGCTTTCTTTTTGGGAACGTTAACAAAGAAGGACAAATCGAGGAATATCAACATGATGTTGAATTGAAATCTATCAATAACTTAGATCGATGCCACGTGAGAGAAGTGGAAGAAGCTGCTTCAGACGTGCTTTCTGACAGTAGTGTTATACCTTCAGTTTCACCAGAGGATGGTGGTGTTCGGCCTATTGACAATATAAGCTCAATAGACTACTATAACGAAGAAGAAACGTTGGCAGAAGAAATTGTGGAGAAGGTCTTATACGACATGAAGCCTGAAAAAATTGTAGAGGTATCTTTTGTCGCAAGCTTTTTAGGTTGTTAAAAATGGTTTATTTTTTAAACTACTTTTGTTTTGTTCCATAAAACTGATGAGTGTTTAAAAGTGAGTTTCTAGCAAACCAACTACTGAACACAACCTCACAACATAAGCTGTCGACCATCTGATTAAGTAATTCGTTTATTCTACAGCTTTCTTGTACTAAAAGCTTTCTTAAATAAGCTTCAAGTGTTTGTATTAGCAACGCGCTAGATGAATGGTCCATAACAAGATACACGCGTTACTCGGTTAGTTGATAAAACCTCGGCTTTCAATAATCAAATCTCAGGTTCGAATCCCACAACGTAAGTTCGGTCGACTGGTTAATATCACTAGCCCCCTTATGGTGGCTCCGAAATGAGTATATGGTTTTATAATTGGTGAGTTACGTTGTACTTCACTTCTACCCCGTCAATATTTTTGGGTTTAGAAAGGTATTTAACTCGACCTGATATGACGAAATCCAATGAAGTTACAAAATAGTGTGTCGCGTTACTCAAAAAGTTTTCCTCAATTTTCTCTGAAGCAGAAAATAATGACTACCGATTAACCAAATTATCAAGAGTCAATGTTGTTATCCGTAGATATCCATCATTTTTGTTTTTGTTTGATGCGTTTGTCAGAATTACCATTTATATCGAGTTTCTAAGGACGCGACTTAAATAAAGTTCCCGAAGCAAATTGGGGTATGCACAATACGTATCGTTAAACAAGTTCGCTGAAAGAGTACCACTTCTGAACCTCTTACATTGAAATTTCAGAATGTTTTGGTAATGCGTATTACATTTCTCAAAAATAAAATGATCATCTACTTCTGTCTATTCTTGTATATAGTTTAACACTTGAAAGTAAAGTAGTTGGACGCATTAATTATCTTACTTTCTTGGTAGGTTTGTGTCTAGTTCAATTCTGATATGAGCAAAACAACATGGTTACTAACCCTGGCTCCAATGAAGTATCTAAATATTGACAGTCAATTGTAAAACTCTAGAGTAACACCTACACTATCAAACAATTATGAGATAACCTTTAAAAGTAAAATATCACAGGTTCCTATATAACTGATTTCCCTAATGGATTGGTTGCATGTAATAAAGCTTCCGAATGTCCGACTTTAACTATGAGTGTAAAACATCTGGTGGAAGTAGTAGATCTATTACTGGTATTATTTATACATATTTTTTATTTATCTCTTCTGCTGACTTAAGTCCGCTGAATAAAACCGGATGTTAGTTATATCCAGACATTGCAACAAACCATGCACTATGGGATTGTATTCAGCACATTGAGGACAGTTATTGGCAAAGTTTGTGAAACAGAAAGACTGGTAATTCAGCCAAAGTCTGTGTTGGACCCGGGATAGATATCCATCAGCAAAGTTCTGAAAAGTTTTACAAGATGAAAAATATTGGATTGGAAATACTATCATCAGTGGTGGAAGACTGAAGTTCGGAAATTTGTTTCGAAAAAAAAAACAAGGGAATTCAGAGAATAGTATTAGACAATACTGCTATCCAAAAACATTGAGTCATATGTCACAATGACCCTGCTGACCTCAATCAGGATGCCTATCCCTCTCGTCATAGCTCAGTCGAAAAGCCAACTACTCCTTGAATTAGTTTTATGTCTTAGTCTAACCGCCGCTAACATTGTTATTTACCAATAAGCAATAAATCCACCTTCTCGATTACTTGCTTAAAAAAGTGGCCGCCGTGGATGCTGCTATTCTAAACCTTAACATTTTCTGATACATTCATTCCTATTATGTATAAAATATTTAAGGAATCATATATATATATATATATATATATATATATATATATATATATATATATATATGATTCCTTAAATATTTTATACATAATAGGAATGAATGTATAAGAAAATGTTAAGGTTTAGAATAGAAGCATCCACGGCGGCCACTTTTTTAAGAAAGTAATTGAGTAGGTGGATTTATTGCTTATTGGTAAATAACAATGTTAGCGGCGGTTAGACTAAGACATAAAACTAATTCAAGGAGTAGTTGGCTTTTCGACTGAGCTATGACGAGAGGGATAGGCATCCTGATTGAGGTCAGCAGGGTCATTGTGACATATGACTCAATGTTTTTGGATAGCAGTATTGTCTAATACTATTCTATGAATTCCATTGTTTTTTTTTCGAAACAAATTTCCGATCTTCAGTCTTCCTTCACTGATGATAGTATTTCCAATCCAATATTTTTCATCTTGTAAAACTTTTCAGATCTTTGCTGATGGATATCTATCCCGGGTCCAACACAGACTTTGGCTGAATTACCAGTCTTTCGTTTTCACAAACTTTGCCAATAACTGTCCTCAATGTGCTGAATACAATCCCATAGTGCATGGTTTGTTGCAATGTCTGGATATAACTAACATCCGGTTTTATTCAGCGGACTTAAGTTAGCAGAAGAGATAAATAAAAAATATGTATAAATAATACCAGTAATAGATCTACTACTTCCACCAGATGTTTTACACTCATAGTTAAAGTCGGACATTCGGAAGCTTTATTACATGCAACCAATCCATTAGGGAAATCAGTTATATAGGAACCTGTGAGATTTTACTTTTAAAGGTTATCTCATAATTGTTTGATAGTGTAGGTGTTACTCTAGAGTTTTACAATTGACTGTCAATATTTAGATACTTCATTGGAGCCAGGGTTAGTAACCATGTTGTTTTGCTCATATCAGAATTGAACTAGACACAAACCTACCAAGAAAGTAAGATAATTAATGCGTCCAACTACTTTACTTTCAAGTGTTAAACTATATACAAGAATAGACAGAAGTAGATGATCATTTTATTTTTGAGAAATGTAATACGCATTACCAAAACATTCTGAAATTTCAATGTAAGAGGTTCAGAAGTGGTACTCTTTCAGCGAACTTGTTAAACGATACGTATTGTGCATACCCCCATTTGCTTCGGGAACTTTATTTAAGTCGCGTCCTTAGAAACTCGATATAAATGGTAATTCTGACAAACGCATCAAACAAAACCAAAAATGATGGATATCTACGGATAACAACATTGACTCTTGATAATTTGGTTAATCGGTAGTCATTATTTTCTGCTTCAGAGAAAATTGAGAAAAACTTTTTGAGTAACGCGACACACTATTTTGTAACTTCATTGGATTTCGTCATATCAGGTCGAGTTAAATACCTTTCTAAACCCAAAAATATTGACGGGGTAGAAGTGAAGTACAACGTAACTCACCAATTATAAAACCATATACTCATTTCGGAGCCACCATAAGGGGGCTAGTGATATTAACCAGTCGACCGAACTTACGTTGTGGGATTCGAACCTGAGATTTGATTATTGAAAGCCGAGGTTTTATCAACTAACCGAGTAACGCGTGTATCTTGTTATGGACCATTCATCTAGCGCGTTGCTAATACAAACACTTGAAGCTTATTTAAGAAAGCTTTTAGTACAAGAAAGCTGTAGAATAAACGAATTACTTAATCAGATGGTCGACAGCTTATGTTGTGAGGTTGTGTTCAGTAGTTGGTTTGCTAGAAACTCACTTTTAAACACTCAGCAGTTTTATGGAACAAAACAAAAGTAGTTTTAAAAATAAACCATTTTTAACAACCTAAAAAGCTTGCGACAAAAGATACCTCTACAATTTTTTCAGGCTTCATGTCGTATAAGACCTTCTCCACAATTTCTTCTGCCAACGTTTCTTCTTCGTTATAGTAGTCTATTGAGCTTATATTGTCAATAGGCCGAACACCACCATCCTCTGGTGAAACTGAAGGTATAACACTACTGTCAGAAAGCACGTCTGAAGCAGCTTCTTCCACTTCTCTCACGTGGCATCGATCTAAGTTATTGATAGATTTCAATTCAACATCATGTTGATATTCCTCGATTTGTCCTTCTTTGTTAACGTTCCCAAAAAGAAAGCTGGAGATTTTATATTTCGGGCCATCTTCATCTGGTGAGTTCTCTTCACCAGGCATGGCGAAGAAAACCTTCAAAGACAAATAAGATTCTACAATTAGAAAGGTACATATCTACAGATGAATAAATGCAAAGTCATTCAAGAAATTAATCTATTCTAGTGACTATGATACTCAATTTGTGAAACAGCTATTACACTAGTTATATCGAGGATGACTTCTCAAATCTTAGCAGGACGATTGGGTATGTGACCCAATATCACTAAATTACGTGCTTGAGCCACTAACTCAACGCAACCGTGTTTCTGGTTGTTTTTACTTAAATGTCTGTCGTTTCTTTCACAAAGGGCGTCATCTAAAAAAACTTGGCTAGTTTTTTTGCTATTGTCGCTAGTAGATTTACAGCAGTGATGACAGATTGCGTATCAGATCGATTCCCGTGCTAGGGAAGTAATCTATCATATGTGTATTAGCTTTCATCAAATATACTGACGACGAAATGCTTGTGAACCAAAATATGGTGGGTTAGATTTATGTACCCACTCCAGATAAATTTTTATCATCAAAAATTGAAAATCATGAACCTTTAACATTCGGGAGGCCTGTATATGCATATACAAAGATAACATTCATGGGTTCCGACTTGGAAGTACTGAAAAGCATACTACACTTCTCATTAATGACCATGGTAATTAACATCCTTCTGACACTATTGACGTACGGGCCACACTCTAAATGTGAAGGCTAGTGATACTACTCGGTTCCTCAAACCGAAGTAGGTGGGGGGTCTACACGGAAGTATGAATAAAGAAATTACGAACTCGTAACAGTGGTGAAATTCGTACTCATGTATTGAACCTGAAGGGCTACACTCGTAATTGCTGTAAATCTTTGCGGACATTATTTCAAGAACATTTATAGCATTGTCCAATATGTTCTTTTCCCGAACTTAACTCCCCAAAAATTAGAAGGGTGGTTTGTTAGCCCTATTTTTAGATATGTAAAGGGACATAGTGTCTAACTACCGACTTATCAAGTCAACTAGCGTAATCGTTAAGGTATTTGAAAA